TGGACCTAAATGCTGATTGGCGAACCCTGTATGTTGATGAGACTGATTTAAATGGGTGTGTCAGGAGACTTGCACTGCCGTTGGTATTTCATGGCTAAAGCTGGATCGGACAGATTAAGAACTTTGGTATCGACTGATTGAAAAGTCAGATCGACTCAGTGCACGGTTCATTTGGACCAGCCCAAACTGAGTGTTCATGTCAGTTTTAGATCGGACGCAACGACCGGTCCGCCGGACGGGGCAAACCGTGTAGAAGGCTCAGATCGCCTGAAGGCACCGAGCAGCTTGCTCAATGCTCATTGCTCAGTTAAAACAGACGGACCCAGTAAGACCAAACGGTGCGAACCAAACGAACCTAACCGTCTGCTCAGTTGGTCCAAACTGACCCAGCCGCCTGTCCAGGGTTACCAGACGAACCGAATGGTGGGCCCAGTTGGACCGGACGGGCCCAGTCGTCTACCCAGTTGGACCGGACTGGGCAGCTTGCCCCGGTGGACCAGACGGACCGGACGGTAAATCCAGTTGGTCCAAACGAGCCTATCCACCCGCGCAGTTGGACCAAACTGACCTATCCTCCCGCCCCGTTGGACCAGTCGTCCCGGCCGGTGGGCCGGCAGCCCAGTTGGACCAAACTGTCCTACTATCCCGCCCCGTTGGACCAAACTGACCTACCCGCCCGCCCCGTTGGACCAGTCGTCCTGTGTGCCGGCCGGCGGCCGCGGGCCGGAGAGGCGCTGATTGCCGCCCGCCGCTAACTGGATTGGTGTCCAATAAAGCCTCTCTGCGGTGACGCAAATCACAGCTGACCTCGGCCGGCCGTGCTCCCCGGGGCCCCGTCTCGGCCGTGCGCGGCGCTCCGGCGGCGAGCAGCGGGAAATCAGTGTGGAGCCGACCTGTTGGGGTCGTTAACGGGGATGGCATGCGCGTTAAACCGCGTGCTAATGGGGTCTTCTGTGTTTTGGATGCCGTTGTATAATGTTATGCCTCCGTATGCCTCCAATAATGCTACTGAACTAGCTAATGACAGATAAGATGGCTATCTTGAAAAAAAAAAAACGGTCGCTCAATATTGTCTACTTGATACTGTCAGTGATGTGTTGGATTAACCTTGACGGTTTAAGTCACGATATATTTCCCTCTACGTTGTCTTTATCCAATGTCATGCACAACAAAAGCTGCATTGCTATTTGTGTGTATGAATGGTTGCTCCATTCTATTCATCCAATTAACATTTAACCTATGACCTATGAGTAGTCTATGACTAACAAGCGGCTTATGTTGATTGTTTCAACCTTATGTATCTAATTGAATACATTCCTATGAATTATGGCTCATCAAACGAGCGATTGTGCTGTAAATCCGATTTGCTAGACGTCATTTATATCTTGCCTGAATGAAAGATCGCCGGTGCTAAAGGCGAATCAGATATGCAATTACGCAATGGTACACAACACAGTTACAATGATCAATTGTACTTGTACTTGTTAATCCTTCTTAACTTGATTATGGATTTACCAGTTAAGCGTATGCGCTCAAATAAAAGGATTGCTTGAACCCATGCAAACGTTTTAACATATGTTGTAATTCTACCAGATCGATACTTATTAAAATAAGGCACACTCGGTCCCTCCAGTCCGTCACGCGCAGAGCAACGAACCGGCGCCGGCACCCGTGCTACTCCCGTCGGTGCTTCCAACTCCCGTCGCTAGATGGCAGCAGTAGTGCGCGCCTGAACTGATGCTGTGCCGCACGACTTCTACTCCCGCCGCGGCCACGGCTTTCCGGCACGGCGCTCATCCTGTGTTGTCGGGAGGAAATACCACGGTTTTTGCTCGTGATTCGGCTCCGAAGTCGATTATATTTCCAGACGCCGACACGCCCGGCTGTCTGTCCGGTGTCGACCAGTGTACCGTGAAAGACGATAAGCCCGTGTTGTTATGGTGCAGTTGCAACCCGGGACGGATTTGCCGAGTCTGACACCTTCCTGCGCTCTGTGTGCTGTGTTCACCGCTGTACCGGAAGCCGTGGGTAGAGTGACTACTTAGACAGGAGTTAAGCTCGGGTGAATCCATTACGCTACCTTGCCAACGTTACTTTGTGGTTCGTTTGTCCCACATGTTAGGATGTCACTGTGGGCCCAACGGTGGTCGTGACTCTAGCTAACATGATGCCGCCTTTTTCAGTGATTGTTACGGAAAAGACCAACATTCTGCTCCGCTACCTGCACTGGCGCTGGGAAAAGAAGGTGAGTGTGATCTTAGCACAAGACATTGGGCTAAATAAATGTTTTCAGATCGTTCTTTTTTGACAACTAGATTGTTTGAGCCGATGACTTCTGACAATACATTTATGGTATGCGATACATAATACGATGTGCATTAGCCGACGAGAACGCATTAGCTGGCGTGTAAATATTTAATCAATCAATCGTAGCTTTCAAAGCAGATGCATAGTGTCCTGACATCGTGGACAACCGTCTGTCATGGTATCAGTTGCTGAGCAGCTTGCGTCAGAGACTGGCCGTTGATATTCCCCGCAGCCCGTTACAACTTCTAGCATTGGATAGCGACACATTTGTTCGCTGCTCTGCATGGATCTGGTCTGATAACGTTGTGGGACGGTCGTCTCGGTCTGATGCCGTATCGGGTCATATGAATTATTCCGCCTCCCCCCAGCACGTGTGGACTGTCAGTACACTGCGGGCCCGGGCGCAGCGCTAAGCCGACTATTTCCAGGCTTTGCGTGCCCCACGAATTTCTTCTCTGTCTCGCGGGCGACTTTGAGTCGAGAAACCATTAATATTAGTCGTCAAGATAATAGATATCTTGACAGAATTTCTCCGAAATCCCCCGGGGGTCGCTGCGTTCCTGGCAGCGTTTTAATGATTGATGGTGGCTCGGAGCCGGCCGAACTGTGCTGGTGGCGAGGTGGTGTTTGCAGCCGGTCACTGGCCGAGCTGAGGCCCAGCGATGACCCCCCAGTGTGACCTTTGAACAGACCGTGAGCTATCCGTGACACCTGAGTGCTTGTAACCTCTCAGCCGTACCTCGGTTGGGATACAGAACTTGACTCAGACCTTTCGTGACTTTGATTCGACCATAATGATTCATGCTGCAAACATGCCGTGAGCCTACCATGGTTCGGGACTGTAAGCCTGATCTGACGGACGAACGGCAAGACTAGGGCGTTGCCATGTTTCCTTATCCATTACCTTGGTGCTTACCATGACTGGCCGTAATAGAAAAAGTTGCCCAGCCAAACAACAATCACAGTAGCTAATCGTCCCTCTCCTCTACCCTCCACAGCTGCAAGATCAGAGCAAGAAGCGCGGTGCCGGCACCACTGATGGCGAGGAGGGCGCATCGGCGAGGAAACGGCCACGCACAGAGCGCAGCGACCCCTCACCCTAGTCCCGCACGGCGAGCCAGGCCGTGCTCTGTGTTGTGCGTTCCGCTCCGAGCCGTGGCGACATTGAGGACTTGACTCCGTCGCCGGAGCGTTTGTTGTGTCGATGCGGACTGAGTTGCCCCTGTGGTCGGGGCATCTGTGTTGTGTCGATTCTGAGTTCGTGGCGGCTGCTGAGGTGATCTGATGTGTACGCAACGCTAACAGCGTCGGGTCGGATCCGGGTCACTAACCGCGCTAAACGGCTGTTCGGTGACCACCGGCGACGTCGTTCAAAGTTCCGTGCGTGCCTCAGTTTTCTGTCATCGCCCGCTTGCCTGATTTTTTTCTCGCTGTGTGTCCTGCGTCGGTCTGCTCCGTTCGGTAATAACTGGCGATTCCACTCCGCGTTCAGGGCCGTCGCATGTGTCCAACCATGTCCGCTGTGCCCGCCGGAAACTTCGCGTTGTGCCCGCGACGCTTGCCCGATCCAACGCACAATGTGTTCTGCCGCCGTCGATATGAAACACTTCGATTCGTGCTCGGTGTCCGACGCCGCAGTGTAACCGCTTTGATATTGCTGTCGCCGTACACTTGCTGGACAGAAAGTAATGTATCCGAACACACTCCGATGGTGGTCGCGATATGTCTGGCGGCGCCAGCCCAAGTGCTGTGATGGGCGGTGAGGGTCCTCCTACTGAGAACCGCGGTATCTGGAGAGAACGAGTGCTTGCGGCTGATGGGATGTGCTTACTCGTGTTGGTGCAGGCGTCGATGAAATCCTGTGGGACTATGACAGGTCACGCTCCTGTCCACGCCGTGAAAGGTGTCTGATGTTCGACTGGTGTTTGCATAGATAGGTGTGTTTTGTTGAGGCTGAAAGGGGAACACCAGAATGGACTCGCGAATAATGTAGGCATTGGTGTGAACTCCGTCGTATGTCCTTACTTCGATGCGTTTTCTTAAGACATCCGACACAAATACAAATGACGTCTGGAGAAGATATTATTTATTGATAGTTCTAGAACACTAAATGTATCGACTTCGCTCCTGACATTCCGGAAAGGTCGTGCTACCGTCTGCACTCGAATGGAGCTGATGCTGGGAAGGTCATGTGTTGTGTATCTCACTTGCTAGCTCCCTAGACTTCCTCACTGTTTAGGTGGCCTCTCGCCTCCGGCCGGCGCCTGCCTTTGGCAACTACCGGCTCCAAAAGTGTCGGAACGACCGCTTGACACCAAAACTTGCTGATAAGTGACGTAATTTGGCGGGAACCAGGCCATATGGCGCGCCTCTGAACTGGCGCGGAAAGCTGGAACCATGGAGAAAAGCGCGCCCAATCTGCTCAGTGTTGGTGTGGCAGATGCCTACAGTTGGCGAGGGGGCTGTTGAGTGGTGGCGAGCGGGCACTGGTTGGTATAAACGGGCCTTTCTCGGGATTTGTAATATTGGACGATCTGTTGTGACGTTCAGGTCAGAACGAGACAAGCGCACGAAGCCCTGAGATTGATCATGTCGCGGCCTCTAATAAGTACCACATACCTTCATATATTCCTGTGGTGCACCTCTCGCTCTTCGCCTACCTTCCCCGTAGCGGACCATCTCAGACAGCGAGCGAGCTTGTCTCACCGTGTATTGTAGATTGTGATAAAACGCCGCGGCGTCGGCGGTTGCGGAGGAGGAGCGTCAGCAGTGTCCGGATGGGAGCAGCGGAGCAGCGCGCCGGCGGGGGAGCGTCCGGCCCCGGCGTGGGACGGCGCCCGGGGCTCTGCGGGTCAGCCGCCGCCGCCAGGACCGGCCGGCCGCCCGACCGACCGTCAGCGGCCGCCGCAGAGACGGCCGCAGCACAGAGGACCAGAGAGATACGCAGTCGTACACACTTTCAAATAAATATCCCCTCAGACACACTCCCCAGAAATATCACAATGCACTGGGCGCGCGCCGCCGCGGTATATTGTACTACCGTCTAATTTTGATTATGTAACGAGTAACGACGCTCTCAGGGCGGCGCCGGTCGCGGGCGGCGCGCACAATCAGTCACTCTCTCTGTCCCGTATAAAAACATGTGCGGCGGCGGGGGTGGCGCCGCGGCGCCAGCTACTGTGCTCACTAACGTCGCTTATGAAGAAACGCACTTGCAAAACATCTGCAGAAAATACGTGGTGGCATATCACTGGGCCGCTAGTGGAGTCGCGTGCGGTCGGCTGGAATGGCGCGGTCGGGCCGCTCACAGCGGGGAGTATTGCGCGGACACCGGGCCGGCCCGGTCAGGCCGGGTTCAGGCCGGGCGCGGCGCCGAAGCCGTTCACCAGCGTCGGCACCACGAGTACCAGACCCGTCTGAGCGGCCGCCGACGAGCGCGGCTCGGGCAGCGTGTCGTCCTCGACGAACGCCTGGCACGGGCTGGGCACGCGCACACTGGCGTCACTGTCGCTGCCGCGGTCACCTGGGGGCAGCAGGGGTCAGCGGAGGTCAGACGGGGTCACCTGGCGGCAGCAGGGGGCAGTGGAGGTCAGAGGACGTCAAGCTCGCGGGCGGTGAAAAGATGACCTGAAGGGCGGCAGAGGTCAACGGGATCAGAGGAAGTCAATTTGCGGAACGGAGGTCATCGAATGTCATATAGACGGGAAGCGAAAGTTGGCATGGGTCACTCGACGGTCAGAAGAGGTCACACCAGCAAAGGTATTTATTTGGGAGGACCGGGAAGTGAAAGTCAGATGTTACTGAACAATGATCAGCAAGTTTAAACTTAGAGGTGGTCACACCTGAGCTGAATTTTGGTGAGCTGGGAATGAAGTTTGCATTCTGAAAACTAAGTGGAACAGAGTCATAGGTACTGCGGTGCATGAAAAAGGCGGATCGTATTTTTATTGAAATTAGACGGGTTAGGAATTTATCGGCATAGTGTGGTTTAAAGTATTCACGAATAGCTACATGTAATTCTCATTTGTTCTCACGTAAAATATATAACTACGCTGTTCTGTGTGTAAGCATCCTTCTCAGTATATAACATCGTTAGCTGATGTCTACAGTTTGTGGTCCTTTCCCGAAGCCGACTTCTCGCATCCATCAACAGGGCCTTGTGACGCAAACAATGTCATCGCCTCAACATCAATAAAGAGTCGCAGCGACATGGCGCCCACTGCCACATCGTTTGTCAATGCCACGGCCATGATGAATTGGGTACAAAACATGGCCCCTACACTGAGAAAAATCTTGACTCCGCATGACACCCCCAGGGGGAGTTCACCAAAACGACACCCTAAAACTCCCAGGTGGTACTCCTCATTACACCCCCTCCAAAACTCTCCATTACACCCCAAAACTTCCCCCGAGAAACTCTCTGCAACTCTCCCTACCGTTTTAGAAAACTCTTCATTTCTCTCCTTTACCCTATCAAAACAAACAACATACTCCCTGAAACTCCCTTCCATTACCCTCAATGACTCTCTTACTGCCTCATAATTACTCCCAATTACTCCATTCCATTATTCCCCAAAACTCCGTTTACAGCTTCATGGTATACCTCTAGTTACTCGCAAACTCACCCAAACTTCCCATCACTCCACTCCAGCCCCCCCCCCCCTCGAAAATAAATATTGAACGAATAGCGTAACCACCCAAAGCTCGTGTACCGAAGCACAGATAAAATATATTTCAAGAAATGTGTATTCATAGTCAGGGGCGGTGGGAGGCTTAAAAAATTGACAAACGCTTTCGACATCCCGCCGCGGCACGCTCTCCGGGGATCTCACTCCATATGCTACACGGTCGCGAGTTTTGATGTTAAAAATCCAAAAGGCGGCCTACCACAGCAGGAATGCTTGGTCTGGTGGTGCCGCTACCACCTCCTGGGCCTCGACGAATACTGCGTCTTCTTCGTCCGGCTCTCCTTTCACGATGGTGGGATGGATATTTTGCGGGCCTCCGTTGGCTTCCGACGTGTCTTGCGAGATGCGATGCAGGCTCTCCAGCTCATCCCCTGCAAAATGTAAATAACCATGAAATTATAGGTACACTTAACATTGCGTGGGAGGAAATAGTGAAGAAAGAAAAAAAAGGAAGGAGGGAAATAATGAAGGAGGGAGGGAAGGAAGGAAGGAAGGAAGGAAGGAAGGAAGGAAGGAAGGAAGGAAGGAAGGAAGGAAGGAAGGAAGGAAGGAAGGAAGGAAGGAAGGAAGGAAGAAAGGAAGGAAGGAAGGAAGGAAGGGAGAGAGAGAGGGGGAGAAAGAAAGGGAGAGAGAGGGGAGGGGAACGAGGGAGTGAAGAAGGAAGCGAGGAAAGATGGAAGGAAGAAATGAGGGAGGAGACTGAGAGGTAGGCGGATGAGACAAGATGGACGAGACGAGACACACGCGACCTGACATATTGGCACTGATACTGCATTTCGGCACATGACATGGGTGTAGTTTTCCAAAAATCATTGCGGGTGCTCAAGAGCTTTCAGAAAGGCATGCCATATTTTTCGTAGTTATTTTTTTCAGCTGTTGTTTTTTACTATCTATCCAGTTTTTTCCTCGAAGCCTTAGCTCGATCAGGGGCCAAACGAGAGGGGGGTCGTACATACGGGGGCCCGCAGTTGCTACTGTACACGAACCCCAACTCTAGCCGTCTGTCCTGTCCAGTAACAACCGATAATATTGATATCGACTGCCGGTCCCTATACAAGAGCAGCTGAGGTTTTCTGTGCGTGCCCTCTGACAGCTTATCTTTGTTCACTGTGAGGGTGCTGAGACAATTTACTCAGGGTCGCTGTACAGTAGCAACTGCGGGTCCCCGTACCAAGCCCCCCCCCCCCCTTGTGCCGTCGAAGGACGCAAATTGGCCTGTGCCGGCGAGGGCTAATGTGCCTGGGAGGCGTAACCGCCGCACGGGCTTGTTTCATGTGCCCTTCGGGAGAGTGAACACCGTAAAGAACTGTCTTTCTGTGCATATTCCTCGGTTGTGCAATCAATTTTTGGCACAAGGTCCGTCGGTGGACTTTTACCACCCTTTCACGTCCTTCCGGCGTGAGGCTTTCCAGTACGCCCGAACACTGGACAGCTATGGGATGGGATCTCTCTGTCATCATGTCCCACTTGATTCATTGACCCAGGTTGTACTGAACTTTTAGAATATTACAGAAAATTGGATATTGTTAGGCTGGCGACTGCTTATATGCTTTTACCCAAACAGAGGAACTAAGTATGGTGTTGTGAATGTCGATAAATTTTACAGCCATTGACATTGTTGGCCAACCTTCATTTATGTTAGATTGGAGATCTTACTTTGTCCCAAGCACCCTAATATCAGATGTAATGTAACCACAAATCAGGGCTGCGGAGTCGGAGTCGGAGTCGGTCGGAGTCGACAGTTGTGACCGGAGTCGGAGTCGGAGTCGGAGTCGATTTTAGAAACCCGAGCCGGAGTCGGAGCCGGAGTCACCGAAAATCTGTCGACTCCGCATCCCTGCTAGGTCTGCGGAGTCGGAGTCGGGAGTTGGAGTCGGTCGGAGTCGACAATTCTGCCCGGAGTCGGAGTCGGAGTCGGAGCTGGTTTTTGAAAGCCGGAGTCGGAGTCGGAGTCGGAGTCGCCGAAAATCCATCGACTCCGCAGCCCTGCCACAAATATCATGCTTCTTAATTTGTGGTAATTTATTCAATGTATATTCTCTTAGTCACTGAATTGAGTAAGCATAGTATTTGCATGATTCACTGAGCTCATTACAGTACTAGGAGATGGACATAACTGATTATTGAGGGCCTTGAGTCAGCTGGGAATGTTTTGAGGAAGCTGGGGGGTGCTTTAAGGAGGCAGGGGGTGCTGAGCTCAGGATTGGGGGTGCTTGAGCACCCACAAAGAGATATAAAGTTACACTTATGTGTGAAAATAATGAAAGCAAGAGATTGCAAAGTTAGCATACTTTTTTATGCACTACCTACAATTTTGATAAAGTTAAGTTTCAGTGAAAGTCTAAAGGGCAAGTTAACAGCCTCCATCTTAGTTGCAGACACATTAGGGAAATGCTATAAAACGTACTTGAGCGCTCAAAAAGTTGAGCGTCGCTAAAAATAAGCTAAGGACGTTATACGCTGCATACGTATTACGTACCCATGTTAACGTTAAAGAACGAACTTCATTCATGGATACTTTCTAAAACAAAAACATACAACAATTTAGACAAAATTTATTTAAACATGCTGGTTTGTCGGTGGTTTTCCTCATAAGGCAGTGGTAGGTAACTGATTTTTTATATATAGGGGCTAGGAAAATCAAGGCTTTTATGTCAAGATAGTTTAATTTTCTGGCTCTGCTTTGAAAGCCCTTCAAATTTGATATTTGTCATTGACATGGATATTAAAACAATCGGGCAATAACAATAGGATCCATAACGTGTAAAGCTTGAATAATCCTAACTTTCCAATTTATTCGAGGGAAATAATGTATGATATTTGCCAATACCTAGAAACTCAGAGCATGCTGTTTCCGATCTTTATCTCACTCAGGAACGAAACAAATCGATTATTCTTACAGAGACCATTCCAGCCCATCAAGAACATGGGGTTACCATGTGTTCTCATCACAGCATTATAACACTTTGCACTATAAAAGCATGATGAGAAATACAGCTATAAGCTTACCTTTCAATCCAAAGTAAGGTCCAATTATCCGTCACTGTATAGGTCAGGTCCGTCTAAGTCAACACGCTCTTCACTAACACCTCGCCCGCCGCACCGCACAACGTGCTGTATACTACGCGCAAAAGATGGCGGCCACCGGCAGCCTCGCGACGTATGCTAAAATCCCTTCGTAACTCCCCTTTTACTCCTGTCGGAACGTTCGGGAAAGGTTTTTTGGGAGTAATGGAGAGTTGTGTCTCAGAGTTATGGGGTGTCACACATGGAGTCATTTCGCCATCCTTTAAGAACTCCTGAAAACTCTTTTGCAAAATCAGGAAGGCTCAAAGTTACCCTAGAACACACTCAATAACTCTGCTGGAAAGGGTGTTATCGATGGTTTTCAGGAGTTTTCAGGGGAGCATTTTCAAGAGTTTTGACCCATATGGAGTCAATTTTTTTCTCAGTGTAGATATGACATGTCTCTCCCTGAGACGCTTTAAATGTCAGAACATTTCTGGTAATTTCATGGCACTCATATGGGTTAGGTTCTAAAGTGACGCTAATCTTTATTTATAGATTGATCGATAATGTCCATGTATTTAATTTAGGTACCTATTGATGTTGAGTAGTCGCTACACAACAGCGAAGTAACAACAGCTAATGTCAAGGGATTGCATTACTTCACCACAATGCTGTGGTACGCAGATCACTCTCATTTGTTGTTCATTTCACCTAAAATATCATTTTGCGTTGAGCAACCTCACATCCGACCGCAAAACTTAAAATGGCGGTTAAGTACTGAACTAGTAAAAAAGATCGTACATTATTCTTGCTTCCTTCCATAACT